CCAATCCCACGGCCCTGATCCGAACAGCGACCACTGACGCCATGTTAATACATTACCCCGCTGCACTGTGGGAGTTAGCATTGTGCTATTGGTGACCGAGCCGGCTCGATGTGCCCACTCGCTCAAGGAGCCGACTCCTTTTTTTCCAATTCACTTCAAAAATAGTGAATTGGAAAAAAAGAAAATTAATCCCAAAGAAAATTTAATGTTTTTGTTGCTCATTTCACCCAATCTTCAAAGAGTTGTTGACTGAAGACTGTAGCTGTATGACAGTCTTATAACTAGCATGATATGCTAATAGCTGAAGTTTAGTTAATTTTGCAAAATTAAAATACAGGTATTACAAAACAACAGTATTGAAAAATATGTAAGTAATTAAGTAAAATCGCATTAATAAAGTATTTCAACAGAATAGAGATACCCTTTAATATGTATATTAAACAGTTGGGGATTAATTTATATATATGCTTATATATATATATATATATATATATATATATATATATATATATATATATATATATATATATATATATATATATATGTAGAGAGAGAGAGAGAGCATACAAAAAATTAAGAATAAGAGTAATACTGTGACTACTAGGGGTAAAATTACAAAATAAACATCAGTTATCAAAATAACATAACATAAAATAGTAAAAATAAAACTCTGATCCAGAAGAATGTGCAAATGAATTACTTTTTTTTTTTTTTTACCAATAAACAAACTATTGGGAATAGTAATACACACAAAAATTTGATTTGAGATGAGAAAAACTGTAAATACCTGTGCAAATACATGTCATCACCGCTTATCCACCTCGTTTGCTTTTGCCGCTTGTTTCTGGAATGTCTGGGGGAGAGATGTTGGAGTAGGGGATACAATCGATGGAAGAGATGTTTGAGCTTGATCCTTCTCTCTCTGCTCTGCATCTATGAAGAAATAAATTAGTTTAATTTCAGAAGTAGATATCAAGATGTTTGCTTCTCGTTGGACTTTTACCAATGAAATAAAAAAAATCTAGTAAAAGGCTGTTAAATAAGGGCATTTAACAAGTATTTTGGACTCAAAGATCAATATAATTAAACGTGGACTAAATAAGCGAAACATTTTGGTTAGCAGAGCTAAATGAATCGAATCCTAAGAAAGCAGCCGAAATTCCCATCAATAGAGGGCGTACCAGTGATGACGAATAGGGGGCGTGTGTTGCGCTACGTTTAGGTACCGCTCGGAAAACAAAATACGGCAACAACTCCTACTTTCAATCATAAAACAAAATGATAAGCAGCACTTTAAAGTACAATACTGGAGTGGTTTTGTTTATGCGAACATCTGCAGTTTGTTTCTATCACAGTATGACCCGGTTAGCTCAGAATTACAAAAAAGTTGGATAGGTTCAAGCCAAAATAGAACTGTGTCACAATAAAGAGCAAACAATAAACAGGAACACATTCATCACACCTTTATTTAAGTCGCCTGAAAAACTGACCAGTTTATGAATAACTCAGCATAATTACTTTTAAAGAAAGTGTCAGTTATGCTATTTTACTGAGAAGTCGGGTACTTCCAAATGAAGAACAGAAATGACTGTTATGGGAAGCTTTATCCCAAATGCATTTTTACTTTGAAGGCATTGTATGGAGCTAAATTAGGGACATAAGATTTGATCAAAGAATAAAAAAAATTGAATCTCAAAAGTAGTTTTGAACTTTTTTCCCCCAGTTTAAATGTTTTTCAGTTTTTAATTTAAATTTTCAGTTTAAAACTTTTTTTTGTTTCAAAATAACTTCAGTTTCAATTTTTTTTTCAGTTTTCAAATTTCCTTAATTATTCTTTTAGTTTCACATCTTATTTGTCACATTTTTTTTAAGTTTCATATAATTTTTGAGTTTTGAAATCATTTCGCAGGTTCAAAACTTTTCTTTCCCACTTTTTATTTTGGGACAAACAAAAAACCGGAAGTCTCGTCCTCGCTGCTTTACTCTGACAGCGGCTCCGGGTTTTGACTCTTCTCTCTCCTCTGTTGAGTTGGCAGTTTGTTTTTTAAGATGCTTCCCGCTGCGGTCTCCGTCACATCGGCGACATTATTATTGTTCCTCATGTCATTAACCGGCCTGACAGAGAGCAAACAGAAAGACTTTTACACCTTTAAGGTGGTAAACAGCAGAGGGAAGCTGGTTTCGTTGGAGAAGTACCGCGGTTCGGTGAGTCCGGTTCTTTTGGCTGCATGCCTGAACGCTTGCATGTGAATTTTCCTCCTGATATCTGTAGATGTGACTAACTGCGGCTCTGTCGGGATGTTCGGCTGCAGCCTACGTGGCAGGAGGCCTGCAGCTGCAGCAGCTCCGTAGATTTCACTCTAACCAGGTATGGAGCATCACTTTGTCTGAAAAACACTAAACTAACACATTCCTCTGACCAGTTATTATATTTCACTTTGCATGGCGAAGATTTCTACTTTTTATTTATTAAACTTATATATTTTCGTGAAAAAATGCTTTTAGTGCCAGCTGTAGTGTATGATGAGTGAAACTTCAGGAATACATGGCAAAATATTTTATTGAACAAACATTGTTATAAGCTTGAATGACTTTGTCTTGGCGTGTAATAACATTTGATAACTGGAGTCTGATTTGTTTTCCTGCGGTTCGGATGTTTTTACTGCTGCTTGAACTAATTTGTTAATAAACTGAAAAGATTTTGTTCAGTCCGGGGTTGTATGGAGCAGTTTTAGCAGCCAGCATGTTCAGACCTCAGTAGCTTTCTTGCTGCATGGATCATCTTAACTATAATCTTGTCTAATATGGGATGCAGTTTGTAAAGTTACAGTCAAATATTAAGAGTGATGATTTGGGCTATTTAGCCTAACATGAAAAAATTAGGTTACTTTTTCAGTCATATTTATAAATGTCACAATTTCAAACTGAATATGTAATTAGCAAGCTAAATATGTAGCTTACGATGTGAGTATGTAGTTCTGCATTAAGCATTTCTGCTTCAAGAAAAACTATTTTGTTAATAAATATTTAGTTTAACTTGTAAACTATTCAAACTAAATATTTTTGCTCCAAGCTAAGTAATTAGCTAGCTAGATAGATAGCTAAACCATTTTGGTTATAACATTTAGAATATTTAGCTTGATAGGTAAATATTTAGTTTAATCAGTTTAAAAAAATATGTGGCAAGCTAAAAATTTAGTTAAATATGTAGCTGTCTACAAACACTTTTCTAGCTAAATATGTAGCTTGCTCACAAAATTCTTAAGTCGTTAATAGAACATCAACACAGATGTCAAATTTCACTCAACTGACAGTTTATAAAACAGCCAAGTAAATTATCGGTTCAGAATTTATCTGGAAAAATTAATTTAGTGGAAGCTATGTGTGCTAAACATTAGCAAGGTTAGCTAAATCACTTTGGCACTAATCAAAAATGTAGCTCTGCTAATAGCAGAAATATGCCTACCTCTGCTCACAGTTTGTTATCTTAGATCTGAAAACTTCTGGCCATTAAAAACTTTGTCCAGAAACTATTAAGCTGCACATTTCACTCAAATTTGAATCGACATTCTTGGCACCAATGAGTTTCCGTAAGCTTCTTTAAATGTGTAGTCGCTGATTTGGCGTTTCTGCGGACTCAGGTGTCCCTGGTGGTAAACGTCGCCAGTCAGTGCGGATTCACGGACCAGCACTACCGAGACCTGCAGCAGCTGCAGCGGGACTTCGGTCCGTTTCACTTCAACGTCCTGGCTTTCCCCTGCAACCAGTTCGGCCAGCAGGAGCCCGGAAGCGACAAGGAGATCGACAGCTTCGTGCGGACCGTGTACGGGGTTTCCTTCCCGCTCTTCAGCAAAATCGCGGTGGTTGGAACAGGAGCCAACAACGTCTACAAACACCTGGCAGGTGAGTATTGATTCCAGGATATCGATTTTTACTCAAAGCTTCGGGGAATTAGAGCCATCAGTTCCAGGCGGAGGATTTGTATTTTCTGTTGCGCAACGCTTTGACCCGCAAATGTTGACAATGCTAACTATATTTATTAACAAATGGGATACTTTTCTACTTGCTTAATTGTCAGAATAATCAATATATCACTAAAATAAGTGATATTATTTGTTGAGCGACCAACGTCTCGTTTCTTTAGAATCTAAATATTTTCTGTGTTTTTTCTCGTTGCAAAGGAAAGCAGGAAATGTTTATAAAGTCTCTTTCTGTGCAGAGGTGTCTGGAAAAGAGCCTGACTGGAACTTCTGGAAGTTCCTCATCGACGTTGATGGCAGAGTGGTGGACGCCTGGGGCCCAAAGGTTCCCGTCACGGAGATCCGGCCGAAGATCGCCGGCATGGTGCGGCAGATAATCCTGAAGAAGAAGGAAGAGCTTTAACTCTCCGTTTCCTCCATGAACTCAACACAAGTTTTACGTTTCCAGATTTATCTGCAGCAACTCCGGCTACTTTCTGAGCGCACTGATCCAACATCACTCACTCTTTAAAATAAAAAATCTGATGTTTCTAGGAACACTTTTGAACCAGAGAGCTTGTTTTTAATAAACTTTCACTGTGACTCAAAGTTTGTTTTGTGCTCTGCATCATCACTGGTTGGTGGGACTCGATTGGAGAGTCTTTAATTAATCGCAATTTAATTGAAAACTATATTGACAAAAAAGCAGCACTTTCAATTCAGAAACCCCTTTTTCTGTTAAATAAATGAAAAAATAAATGAGCTCAATAACAAATATTTACTGTCATTTAACCATCAAATTAGTGCAAAGTTGTTTTATTCAGCGTCAGATTTACGGGTGGAGCTGACCAAAGGTGCTGGAGCTCAGCCTGGGTTGCTAGGTAACGGTGCCCGCCAATTGTGTCGCAACAAATGAGGTTTTTGAAATGAATCCTTAAAGAAAAACAAAAAACCCCATAAATTTATTTCCAAAAACAGTCTAGGTGTTTTTTTAATACTTAAACAATTGAGATCCAAACGAAAGAATAAAAATGCAGAAAGTCTTGTAATGGACCATTTTATTAAGGGGGAGAATGACGTAAAATTGACAGTTTTAAACTTTGCATCATCAAAAACACACCTGGAGTTTTGCTTTGAGTCCTTCATTCACCTTTGAGAAACCCTTTAATCTCCATGGCAACCATTCAACTGTGCAAAACGCCTGGGTGGACAAAGCCCCGCCTCTGAGGCACAGCTCAAAGAGCAGGAGCTTCTTAAAGAGACAGGCCCAATTTTAAGGCGTTACATTATGAAATAAGATTTCTTTTAAGTTATATGTGTAATATTTTTATGACAACTGAAGGTAACGTTACATGACTGCTATACAGTAGCAGAATCTCTCACTACTGGGCTTTCAGATGGACAAATGAACCAGGAAGTCTTCTATGTCTCCGCTCATCGGCTGCCGTTTCTCTTCGCTCATCCTCTCCAGACGCCTGATGCTGTCGTCCCGGTAGAAGCCGTGGTGAGGAATCGCTGCTGCCCTCATGAAGAACTGGACAGACTTCTTCCTCTCCTTCTGGCTGAACTGCAGATATTTAGCATAGAAGCTGCAAACCATCTGCTCCTCTTCGGGATCCAAGTCTCTTCTCAGCAGCTCCTCAAACGTATCTTCGGCTTCAACTCGCTGGTTTGATTTCACATACATGTTTGCCAGAGATATCTGCATCTTAAGGGAGGAGTGAGGGTAGAGGGCGATGGTTTGTTTGTGAAGACTGATTGCTCTGTCCACCAGGCTGTGATCCAGGTGATTGTTGCTTTGGGAAATGACTTTCCTTTTGTAGCAGATTGCGGCGCATTTCTTGATGTATCGCGCGTTGGGGTGTCTCTCCAGAGCCTCCTCTGCTAAATCAACAGCTTCGTCCATGGAGACGTGGATCCTGTAGAGCCTGAGCAACGGTTTCACGCCGCTGTAGCTGCTAACCGGCTTTGCTAGCACTCGCCTCGCCAGTTTTTGTGCTTCATTGTGAATCCTGGCTCCTTTCTGAGCTTGGGCTTCCAGGTAGAGAGCAACAAGGTACAAGTTCTCCGGGTCGTGCTGTTTGGCGATCTTCACCTTCTCCAGGATGTCAGGGTCCAGGTTTTGTTTTTTAGAGGCTTTGACCAACGCTAGCACCCGGCTGGTGTGCCACTCCACCATGTCTGGTTGCATCCTGATGGCTTTCTGGAAATAGTCTACAGCCAGCAGCTTCTGACTGAACTTCATCAGAGTCCAGGCTTTCTCGGCGCAGATCTCGGGGTGCGGGTCGTCCGCAGACGGAGACGGGTACTCTGTCATCAGAGCGCCAACCTTCCATAAATACTCTGCGCTACGCGCCCACTCCCCGAGCCGGTGGTGCAGCCAGGCCATGTTCCCGTAGTTCACCACCAACCAGGGGCCTTCGTCTGAGACGGTGTTCCTCAGCTGGCGGAAAGCCTCGGCCGCTCTGCAGAGGAAACGCCGCGCGTCTTCCAGGAGGCCCAGCTGGTGGTGGACGAAGCCCTGCAGGTTGTAGATGTGGCCCTGCCAGCAGTAGCCCGACTCTGGACCGATGTCCTCCAGTGCGTCGCGGAGACACAGCAGCTTGGACCTGCTGAGGTCCAGATCCCACGTGAAGTGGCACTCCAGGGACTCCAGGTGAGAGTCCAGGTGAGATTCCAGCTGTGATGGAGTCTGAAAGGCGCTGGAAGATGGATTAAAAGTTTAAACTACAGAAATGGGAACAACGTAAGAGAAGAGGCAGCAGAGGGATGAATGATTAGAAGAAAAAACGTGGAAAAGTGGAGTACAATTCAAAATCAAAAATTTGACAGCTAGAAAAATCTCTGAAACTTTGACGTTACTTTCAGAACAAAAGAAAAATTCTGAGCTCAAAACGTTGAAAATTGTGACAAAAAATCTGAAAAAATTCCATGTTTTAGCTCAAAAAGTGCTAAAACATGATTTTCTAGAAGTTTCTAGAAGTTTTATTTCTAGAAAATTCCTGAGATTAATCTTAGAAATTCTGAGCTGTGCGGCAGAAACGTACTCGTTTTGTTCAATATAAAATGGCCCTGATATGAGGTAGTAGAGACGAGTAAAGAGGGAAGGAGAAATCCTTAAGAAGAGACGAGAAAAAGAGGAAAATTATAAATCTGAGTGTTTCAGGGAACGGACCTCATCCTGCAGCCGTTGTCCGGATTCTGGGGTTTTCTGGATCTTCCTGTTCTGCTCTTCGGCGCGGGACCATAAAAACCAGTACTGTTGAATTTCCTGGAAATAAAGTCTCACTGGACGACACTTTTCTCTTTCCTCATGAATCAGAAACTGTAACTCAGCACTGATCTGACGCCGTGTTTAACAAAGAATGAAATCTTACAGAACAGTTTTTATTCTGGAACGAAGTTGGACGTATTGAGTCATTCTGACCTGAAAGGTCAAAGTTCAAGCAGAGCTGTAAATGCTGGGGTCAAAGTCTTGTCTGTGTGTCAGCAGCTCTAAATGACATCATCACAGTTCACTTTAATATTTCATAGAAATATGAATCAGAGCAAAAAGCTGTCATCTTAGTCCAACAAGAAAACATACACTATAAAACCAAATTCAACAGAAACAATTTGATTTTCCTAAATAAACGGATCCACTGTGTTCAGATAATTCAAGGTCGCTTCTGTTGACTAACTGTGATAACCTAGCTAAATGCTTACTAAGTATTATAAGTCTACTACATGCTAAGTAAGCATGATTTTTATGCTAACATAACTGACATGCTAACTCAGCACCGTACTCCATAACACATGCAAAGAAGGCATGGTGACCTCATTTAGTCACAAAGAAGAATGCCATCTGTGCTAAATGCTAATTAAGTAAGCTAACTTTAGCACATAGTGACTAGCCAAATTATGCTAGCTCTTCATGCTACATGCTGTTGAGGAGTTATAACTTTGGATATGCTAACTCATTATGATATTATTAACGAAATATTAAGCATGATGAATTTGTTACAAGCAGAAGAAGCTGTCAAAGCTAAATGCTACTCCAACAAAATAACTATGTTAGATGCTACATGATGACTAGCTGTATGCTAGATTACTTAGCATGTGGGAAAGTTATCAAACTTAATATTAAAGAAATAAATAATAAAAATCTACTATAATCTAAAAAGCCAGTTTTACTGTCAGGCAAATGTCACATGTTGAAAAAAAGATATAATTGTAGACAGATATCAACAATCAGAAGTTATTATTATAGTTAATAAAAATTCACAGTTTTTTTTACTTTTAGGATTTAAAATAAAGAAATATTAAATTTAATAAGAAGAGGAACAATGTCTTTTCATGCATTGGACTGAAAACATGACATTATTAATAGTTTTAGTGTTATTCTTTGTGGAAATTAAATTAAATGCAAAACCTGAGTTATTTATTATCAGGTTCTCTTTCATATTTAATTATAGTTATTGATATTTACTGTGGAAAGTCCAAAGAGCCACTTTCAGACTTATCCCGTTGCACAAACTAATCTGAAATTTGCTTTAATTTGTTCCAAATTCAAAAGTCTGATTACAGAAATGTGCCTCTGTGTTTATTTGCCAAGGCCAGGCGCTCCACCTCCCTGCAGCAGAGCTTTACCTCTTCATTAAATCAGATTGTGTCTGTCAGAGGATTATCTCTCCGCTTTCGGCCACCTCCAGGTCACTGAGGAATAATGGGGCTGTGGAACGTCTTCACTTCCATCAAGGACCGCGCAGAAAAGTTTCTGAACGAGAAGAACGTGGTGACGGATGTTCTGGGGAAGCTGGAGGAGAGGACGGGAATCAAGAAGAAGGTCATCGCCCTCGGTAAACCAGAAACGGTTCAGTAATCTGCTCTGTTCAGCTGACGGTTCAGTATTACGGTTCGTCAGACGCAGAAAAACCGGAACCAGAACACGTCGAAATGCAGGTTAGACGGTTTGAAATCCAGTGTTTCTGAACCGATTCAGGGAGATTCTTGCTATTTGGGCTATGAGCTAAATGAGCATGCGAGGTGGATGCTTATTTTGGTATTGATCCGATACCAAGTATTGCCGATACCAACACTTTTTTCTTAGTTTTCTGCATTGTCAAACTTCTGAGGTCTAGCAGTTTTCATAGTTTTGTGCAGGATGAAATTTGGACAGTTTATAAATACTTTAATATCATATTAGCATGATCTGTGTCAATTTTTCCTAGACAAAGTGCAAAAAAAAATCATCCTTCAAGAGCAAATCGAAAGGTAGAGCTGAGAAACAATAAACATTTTTAGCTTCACCAGGTTCAAATGATCCTATTACGCACCTTTTCATTCCCAATAATCAATCAGTAAAATAAAAAAGAAATCAACCTTTCACTGCATTGATAAGTCAAGCAGAAAGATTTGTTTTTAACTGCTGATAATGAAGCACTAAAGGAATTAAGTTTTTGCATTTTAGGCAATAAAATGTTACAATAAGGCTCCCTTTATAGATAGCTAATAAATAGTTTATAAATGTTATTAAGTCAACTATGAACACTTTATAAAGCATTAATAACTGTTTATTATGCATTAAGTAAGAATGAGAAGGAGACTGTATGGTAAAATAATAATCCAATTGCTTAACATGTTTTCAATGTATCTGAAACTTTTAGTATAAAAACTCTAGATTAAATATATAGATCTGGCTCATTATTTGACAGTAGATTCTGTCTCCTTCTCACCTTTGATTAATGCATAATAAACAGTTATTAATTATTTAGAAAGTATTAAGAGCTTAATTAATAACATAACTATGAAGTATTAGCTACCTACAAGGGGAGCCTTATTGTAACGTTGTCCCAATGTTTATTTTAAAGAGTTGAATTGTTCATTTGCATCTTTTATGAATTTCTAACATTGTATAAAAAGGCTGATGTGGTTAATTGAAAAATGTATTTAATATACTTTTAAAAAACCCTGATTAATCGATCACTAAAATGATTGTGATAATCATTGGAATCAAAAGTGAAGCCTTTAGGGCTTCACTTCTTTCTGACACTGCGGTGCCCAGGCGGTGCCCAGGCGCCCCCTGGTGGCCAGCAGGGGTGCCTGTCTGTCTGTGCCACCCTTAAACCCATTCTACCTTGTGGTAATGCGCATGCGCACATCGATGCTACGTCACATACCGCTTCCTCAGCAGATTTCTTATCAATACGACTAACGCACACAACACTTGGGAGTAAATAGATTATTTTCATTTCTATGTGTTTGACATTATTGGAAAGTTTAGAATCCAAACTTTCAGAATCTGTAAATTAGTTCAGAGTTCATGACAATAAGTGAGTTAAAAGGCTAATATTTCCACTTCTGGTTGGATTAAGATGTTGTGTTATTGCGGGGTAATTTAAAGTCAGTTTAGCTAAACTTAAACACCGGATTAAAGAAATATTGTTTCATTCTAGGGATTAAAATGTTTGTTATTTAAAAGTTGAATTGTTTATTTGCATATTTTAATAAATTGCTAATGTTTAATTAAAAAAAAACAGGCTTTGGTGGTCAACTGAAAAATAAAATTTTCGATGACTAAAATAATTGAACTAATAAGCCTTTAACGCCGTGGAGGGAAACACCAGGCAGCAGCGGGGCGGTGACGCGGCGATGACGTCACCGGTGCCTGGCGGAGGCAGATGATCCCGGCAGCAGAGCAGGACGGGCCCAATGACTGAACAGCAGCATAAGCTGATCAGAGGTAGGAGGATTAATGGGACGGAGCCTCAGACCGCGCCATCGCTAACATGACGTCATCCCGCAATAACACAACCTGAGATTAAAATACTAATCTGTCACTTCATGTTCTGTTGTTTCGTAAATGTTCAGGTGGGTGGAAACTACTTATTTACATGAGTAACTTTAAAAAAAAGTACCTTTCACTACTATGCTGTACTTCTGACTTGACTATGAAGTATTTCTACTTTTACTTAAAGTGGATTTTCTACCCACTGAATGAAAAACAAACCAGAAATTCACCAAACACAGACACACGCCTGCAGTTTCCATTAAAGTTTTATAACGTTTTTATTAAAAGAAACTGATTTGGAAGCATTTCTTTTTGCCTGATTTTGTTATTTATATGATTTATTGTTGTTTTGGTCTTTAAAATGCCAAAAATTCCACTTAATTTTATATTTTGGTTCATCTGATAATGTAAATTTTAAATATTAAAGTGACTCAGGACTTGAGTTAACGGTTTAATAAATATTTTTTACTTGATGCTTTGAAGTTCACAGATTACGTCTGTTAGAGAAATTATCTTTCAAATAGGACATTTGTTTATTCTCGTTTCATTAAACTTGTCATATAACATTTTGCTGATATTATTCCAACTTTTTTCTTATAATATGACTTTTTATTGTGTATGAATCATGTTAGTACTTTACTCTGGTCGTGACTGTTTTTCTATAATTATGACTTTGTCATACGGCTTCATTTTCATGACTTTATTCCTTAGAATTTTTTCTTGTATTTTGGTGACTATTTTTATAATGAGCTTATTTTCATGATATTATGACTTTATTATAAAATTTTGACTCGTCATACAACTTTATTCCAGTACTACTATGATTTTATTCTTATTTTGACTTAGTGCTGTTTGGTTTTATTCTCTGAAAGGTTCATGTTTTCTTTGCGTCTCCAGACGTAATTTGCGGTGAATTCATATAAACTGAAAGTGTCTGTCCAGGTGCCGTTTCGCTGACTGGACTTTACCTGGTTTATGGATATGGAGCGTCGCTGCTCTGCAACCTGATCGGCTTCGTCTATCCGGCTTATTATTCGTGAGTTTGATTCCTAGATGGTCTCAACTTGCCCTTATTCTGAAGGGCAGTTTTGTTTAATTCATTAGTTTGTTGCTTCTGTTTATTCATTTTGGATATTTAAAATGTCGACCGGTTCCAGTGTCAAACGTTCATAGACTCATAAAACAGCTGAAATAATGAGAATAAAGTCGTAATACGACAATAAACATGTATGACCAAAAAGTTTGAATAAAGTTGTAATACGAGAAGCAATATGCAGAATAAAATAATATTACCAGAATAAAGTGAAACTATTCTCATATTATTGTGACTAATGTGGTAATTTTGCTTTATTCATGTATTATTGCAACTTTATTCTGATACAATTTAAACTTCATTGATGTAAAACTTTATTCTTGTAATGAAAATATTTTTCTTCATCTGGCTCTAATAATCCGTCAGATATAAGAAAAATAAACTTCATTTTACAGGATGACTGTACCGTTATTAATGTGTCTGTGATTAAACGTTATCTTTGCTCTGATCCAATTTATTCACTGCAGTTGGTTTTTCTAATGAATATCAACTGAACGTTTTTTGGTAAATCCGTATTTTATCAGATAAAACCTTCAGGATTTGGTAGAAAACTTCAAACATTATTTTTTTTATCAATCAGAAACGGATGTGGAAAGTTTCCTTCATTTTCTGCCTGTTGTTTCTGGTCCTGTCTCGGTTGGAGCTTAAGTTCTGGTTTTCTGCAGAATCAAAGCCATCGAAAGTCCCTGCAAAGAAGACGACACAAAATGGCTGACCTACTGGGTGGTGTACGGCGTCTTCAGCCTGGGCGAGTTCTTCTCCGACATTTTCCTTTACTGGTTCCCGTTTTATTATGCATTTAAGGTGAGGACACACCCAGAGTTTCAAAAAACAAAATATGTTACGAAGTTGACATGACGCCGGCCCCCAAACCTCCGACAAACACACAGTTATACTGGCAGAGGTAGAGGAGCTCTACGCAACACCACAAGAGTTATTTTTGCCTTATCAGCCACACTGAGGCAAAACGTTTCTCCGAGTCGCATGTCAGGCAGGAAACAATGGAGAAATCAACATTAAAATCCAAGTTTTTCCTCAGTCAGAGGAGCAGAAAGTCTCATCGGATGTTAGTGTGAACGCTGCGTCGGGTTAAATAATAGCAGCTCGTGAAAATCTGCCTCCAGGAAAATACTTAAAAATAAACTGCAGCACAAGTTTTCATGCTGCCAGAGCATTATTGGTCTTTGATTTGACAGTCAATGAGTGTCGTTTGGATGGGATGTTAACTGCCAGTCACCTTCGTCCTGACTAACATGGGTAGTTGATCAGTTTCATTGGACAGGACATGCAGTCGGCTGCATTTATTTCAGACTCCATTTGGGTTTTGGAAATGTAATAAATTGTATTCCACTCTCTAAACGCTCTGGGTAATGGCTGCATGTTCCTTTCTTTCCTATCAGTTTCCCCTTTGAGTCTCTAGCCACAGCGTTAGCAATAACAAACTCTGGCAACGTTGCCAGAGGTTCAGTTCCTCCAGGTAAGTGGCAAATACTTAAATACTGACCACCAACTGGTCAGTTTCTGACAAACCCACTGGAATGACTGGCAGGTGGTGTCATGTCAGTTGCATCTTTTTGGGAATAAATGCAAAATTCAACAATGTGTGGGAAATGGTTCTGGATGTTTTCCTGGTGTCTATTTCCAGTGTTTGTTCCTGTTGTGGTGCATGGCTCCGATGTCGTGGAATGGCTCCCAGGTCATTTACAACAAAGTGGTTCGGCCCGTCTTCCTCCGCCATGAGGCCACGGTGGACAACATGGTGAGCGACCTGAGCGGGAAGGCCATGAGCGCCGCCGAGAACCTCACCAGAGAAGGTAACCTAGCTCCAGTAGAAACCCCGGCGCTCCTCTTTCAGGAAGCTGACACTTCTTCTTCTTCTTGAGTTCTCTCCACTCTGGTGAAGAACAAAACTCTGGTGACACCAATGCCGCCGGTCGCCCCGCCTGAACCGAAGAGTTTACCAAGTTCAACCGGAGAAACGTCAAACGCTAAAGTTGCTCCAAGTGAGCCGAGCGAAGAAGAACGAAGGGTAAGAAAATCCGTTTCCTCACTTCCTTCCTCAGATTTAAATATATGGTGGAATGATGCTTCAGAAAAACAGAGGACAGCTGATTCAAAGCAGAACATGTTCACTACGCCACATTATAGGGCTGCAGTAGATGAAAAAGAATATATATCACATTCCAAAGAAAATAAAACCAAAAATTTGAGTTAATCTGAGAAATTTTCTAGAAAAGACGTGAAAAATGTTATATTTGCTTGAAAATCCTCAGAGGTTTTTACGTTAATCTAAAAGATTTTCTAAAAAGAAATTATTGGAAATTTCTGAGTTCAAAAGTCAATGCTCAACTTTTGAAATTTAAAACTGAACAAGTTTTTCCTGAAAAAGTTGTTTCAAGAAAATTGTTCAACTTTTGAAACTTAGAAATTTTTATATTCATTTTAGACATTAATCTAAAAGTTTTGGAGTTTTTTTTCTAGCAAATTTCAAAGATTTTCTTCCAATGGGCCTGCGATGGTCCATGTTTGTGGTTTGGGTTGGTAGATTCTACTTCTGCAGGGTTTGGTACCGACTGTAGAACTGCTCAACCAACCCGTCACACCTTGTTTTGCGTGAATCTTCTAATCCCAACGTGTTTGTCGCCTGTTCCAGCCTTTTCTTGGGTGACCAGGTTGGTAAGTGAGCTGGTTGTTGGTAAAGATCCTGTGTTGTGATAAAAAGAACCGGTTCAATAACAGCGTAGTTTCTTGTCTATTGATGTTGAGCTGCAGATTTTCTTCCTCCTCCTGAAAACATTTATTTCTCCTCTGTAGATCGTAACTCCAAATCCACCCAACTGGTCATGTTGCTGTTTTTATGATGAAATTGTTTAATTGGGATTAAAATCTTTAAAAAGAAGTGGCTCACATAATTATCTTTGGGGAACGCCTTAAAAAAAAAGGATGTGGTTTGATGAAAATACATAAAAATATAAGCAAAAATTAAAACATAACATTGTGATTAATGAGGTCTTATAAAACAAATGAGGCATCTCCTAATCACAGAGACATTAATATAACTACAAATCACTATTAACATGCATAATGTATCTGCTTTTTATTCTTTAAGTTAAAAATCAAATAAAAAAGACATTTTTACGGCCTGCAGCAGACGATAAGGCATTTTTTATTTGATGTAGCTGTACAGCTCAGCCGGTTGGATCTTAGATTTAGCTACTTTTTCTTAGATCAGATCCGTTTTTCAATTTTAAAAAAAAGATCCTATCCAGTACATGGAAAAACTTACAGTTTAGCGAGAAAACTAAATGAAACCAAAAAATTGTGGCTTAAACTGAGACGAACCTTTCAGAGCCAGAATCTTTCAACCTGAACATATTTGTGAGCACGAATGGTTCTGGTTCTTCCTAAGCAAATATTTTTATCACTTATTTTTAATTTGTGTTCATGTGTTTTGCTGTTTGCCTTCACTTCAGGAAGAACTTGGTGTAGACTGAGGGTAAGTTATTACTCAACCCATTTCAGATACGCACTGCTTTAAATTAAAAATAAAAAAATAATCAGAAAGTCTCAGATTAAAAGCTCAATTTGGAATTTGTACAATTGTAGCTATTCTTCTTGAATTTTAAGTTTTTGTTCATCAAAACCTAATTAAATGATCAAATTTAAATGGATTTAATGAAACAGACAGATTTGATCTGACATGAGTAAAAATGTTAAGATGTGAAAAAATTAAATTAAACTAAATCTGTAAGGGGGTGAATACTTCCTCAACATGGTCCAAACTCTTTAAATGATGACTGATCTGATTTTTGAAACAATAAAGAAAGACAAAATTTTATTAGCAGATTGTTTTATTATTGTCTAACTATTAGTTTGGTTTCAAAATCGAATCCAATCACCCTTGGGTTAAATTCATAATTAAGTTTTACATCAATTACAAATTGTTTACTAATTCATTAATCAAATGTTGCACAAAAAACATCATTCATAAAAACACAATAAATACTCCGTTAGCAATAACCAAAAACAAGGACAGGCATCATAGGCATTTCACTGATTAGCATTAGCGTTTAAAAATATGCCAAAAACACCCTAAAAATAAATTTTTATCAATGGAAGTTTGGCCGAATTATTCAACATAAAACATTAAATTAATATCAACTGAAATAAATACGATTTCTATTTCAAGAAGTTTCATAATGTTACAGACAAATGTATTAAAAATAACCACATTCCGCTATGGAGTTCCGTCCGGCGAACGAGTTATAAAATCGACAAAACGGGACCTAAAAACAAATCCTAGCGGCAAAATTAGCAATTTTCAACAGAGGAGCCAAGAAACCCGAATGTCAAGAAACTCACCTTTGAATTTGATAACTTCATATCAAGTTTTTATCAAGTTTTAACTTGTAAATCGACTGCAGACGGTTCTGTGCTAAGCGCAGCTAGCACTGTTTGGGAACCACGCACTTTTAAATCAGCGCCCCCTGCAGGTTGGATGAATGAACAGGTTATAGACGCTTATTGAACGTTCCCACTTCTTTTCCTGGATTAGTTCACATTTTTGAAAATCCCTGTTCTAAAGTATTTTAAAATCTGACTTTCATGCAAGTGAAGTAGAAAAACCTCCTTTATGTAGCAGTAGTTTAGAAAACAGTAGTATGGGATGTTTTCCCCTCAAGCAGTAAACACTTGATAGGAAACCTTTTTAACAACACAAAAAATAACTCAAAATTTCTTGTTTGTGTTTAACAGTTGTTCAGATAGCAGCAGAGGAAGATGCTCCGCGAGGAAGAGGACCAGACATGAATGATCCAAACAGAAAGTGCTCCTTATGTCACAGAAACTCGGTTATAAGGCCATATTTTTGTCGATCGGTGTATTCAATCTGAATTTATGATTTGGGGATCATTTATTGTCTGTAGAAAATCAGACAGATACTGGAAGCTGCTGTCTGATCTACGAGCTAAATGTCAAAAACAAGTTCAGAAAAAAATAATAAAAAAAATCTTATGACTGGAGGTTCTACTTTATCGACAGTTCAGATCAGAGAACTGAATCTACTAAAAATGAACCAGTTCACTTTGAATTTCTGTTTTCTTATTTGCCTCTCTGAAATGCTGTCAATTTATCCGACACTTTTCCTGCTTTTATTTTACTGTAAGTCAGACCACACAAATCCAGGAACGTTTTTCTGAAAAACAAACTTTGGCTCATCCTTTCATTGAACTCTGTTTACTTTTGAAGACAGTTTTTTTTCAAAAACTAAATACTTTTTCTAGACCAGAGACATTTTTTCTATTTAGTCCCACAAAATAAAACTTGCTTAGACTTGCTAAAGTCAAATTACTTTTCTTTCAGAAAGTAATGTTTTGTTAAATTTTTTACTAAATTTGTTGTTTTTAAATAAATACAATTTATTCATATTTAAAGAATTTAAAAATGGAAAACAAATTAGCGAAATGAGGATCCAGTTTTCTCTCAAGGTTGGTAATATAGAATAGAATTTTTTTGATCAAGTAATTCATTGATAATTTTATTGTAAAAATAAATACAAAAAAAAGTAAAACAATTTGATAAGAAAAATAGTTTTAAAAAGAAAATTTCTGGTGAGTTTAGTGTCTTTCTGTTGTGGGAATTTAATGCAATAATCAGTGTTTCATAAAAATCTATATTTTTAAAAAGTATTTTGGTTACAAAGTGAAAGAGTCACATGTTTCAGATCTCTGCTCTAGAAAAACAAAATAGTAAACATTGACCCAAAAAGTCAGGAGCTAAATAATGCATATTTAATTTATTGCTCAGCAAGTACATTTCTTTTGTTTTTGTTTTTTTTCCCACTGGGAGATTCTGGTCTGTAATGTGAACATTTTAAACACAACCGAACGGAACAGAACAGAACATCCACCATCTACTGGTGGGTAGAAGAAGAGCAACCCGGTCACATCTGCACTGATGAAAATATAGATGCTAACTTTTGCCAACACGACACAAAAATACAGAAATATTTCTGGACACGTTTGTTGTTGAGGTGCAGCAGGAAAAATGGCGGCCGGGAAACATTGAACATTTACAAACAGGAATGATTCAGTTTGATCAGATCAGTCTCTGCAAAGGATGTTGAAAATGTGAACATTTTGTGAACTGGAAACCTTAATAATTCTCTCTTAATCAAATGTCAGAGTTGAAGCTTGTCTTGTTTTCTTTTTCTCAACTTAGAGGAAAAAAATGTCAGTTTCACTTTGAAATAAAATATTAATTTGTGATTAATGCTTTAAATAAATGAGGGTGAACATCTACACATGAGAAAAGGTTAGGGTACCTGAATATTATTCATTCATGTTATTACTTTTTGCTTTAATATTTATGTTTTTGTAAGGACCCCCACAAAAAACATCTCAAGAGGTTATCTTTGAAATAAAAATTAAACATGCACTGCTTTATGTTTCACACTTATTTACAAAAACATAAGAATAAAGCTTAGCATAAATATGAAAAAAAACAAATATTGAAAAACTAATACTTTTACTTTTTTCTCACTTTTCCTTTCCACTCTGATTTTTATTTCTGCACATTTCTCATTTATTTTCATGGTCATACTTTAGATCGCAACACTTTTCCTGACCAGAAACATTCGGGGACCATGAAGCGATGTAACAGGTCAGGTCGAAGGTCAGCCATCACTGTCTGTCTGGGTTTCCAGTAGCAGAGTTCAGTTAAAGAGAAGAAGAAGCGGAGTCAGCAGACTTGACCTTTGACCTCCTCCACCGTCCTGTCCAGCTCTCCCCCGGCCGTCTGCAGCGCCTCCCTCTGGTTCTGCAGCTGACCCAGCGCCTCCTCCAGTCGGCCGTTCAGATCCAAATAGCGGCGGCTCTGCTGGAAGCGCAGTTCCGCCTCGCTGTCCGCCGACCGGGACGAAGCTAAACACAGAACGTCCAAACGTCCGGTCAGCGGCTCGGATCCAAACACACACAACACTTGTTCTGTTAATGAAGTGCATGTTCTAAATATATGTGACATACTTATGAGTATGTCTCAATTAAGTATAAGTCATTATCACAAGATTTAAAGCAATAATTAAAAGTATAAAAGTTGTAATTATGAGCATTAAAATTGAGTTTTAAAGTCATCATAACAAGATGCGCAGTTTGTAATTGTAGCTTTCATATCTTATGACTTTTATTCTCAGAATTATTCATTCTAAACTGTCTTCCCTTTGTTTTATTTCTTTCATGGCGGATGAATCCAGTTTTCTTTTCCTGTGGAGAGTCAAATCCTCTTTTCTTTACCCTGTCTGATTTCTTCAGAAACAAAAGCAAAACAATTGTGTTTTGCATAAATATTTAAAAAGTACTTCTGAATTTGATACATGTCCTCTTATTTGTCTTAAGAGGTCCAATTTAATTTAAACATGTAAATGTTTTTAAAGGGGAATAATGGAATTTGACGGGAATATGAACCATCTTGTCTCCGGTGTGGACTCACCCTGCTCGGTTCTCTCTAGGATGCTGAAAACTGGGTCATCAGGAGCAGCTCTGTGGATGTCCTCCAGCAGCTGATCCACAGTGGGGAGCTCGGGTCGGCTGGGCAGAACCACCCGTTTCTTAGTTTTAGAGCCAATATTCATTTCCACAAGCAATGCTACACTTTCTCCATCTGAAATACTGAAGGAATAAAGAAGTTAGAAAACAGAGCAGCACCTCCAGCTCCAGTAAACCTGATTACCAAAATGATCTATTTTTCTCTTTATTCTCCAGAATAAAGAAGTCTGAATAATTTTGAAAGTGTTAAAGTAATTGTTTATATGAAATAGAACCAAGATTCTAGAACTTTTTAAGCCACGGATTGCTAAACACAAATCTATCTAATATATGTCCCTTTAAACAACTAAAACACAAAAATCTATACAAGCTAAAAAGATAAATATTCAGCCGAATGATTTATAACGAAGTAAAATATATCGTGAGATATTTTGGGTGTCGTTAATTAACGTTACGTTAGGTGACAACAAATTATAGCTTAATTCTAGAAATAATTGATAGAGATTCTGGTTTACGTTGTAAACAGCCACAACTAGCCGTGTTTCTTCATAGCTTGCTGAGGTTAATGTTTCTTGTGAAAACCTTTCGACTCGTTTTGGGTCTGGCTTACTCCGTCAGCGGCGTATTTTTCCCACTTTCTAATGCAGAAAAACGAACCGAGTCCGGAGAAAAATACATCAACACCAGTTAGCAAACACGACACCGGAAGCTAAGGGTAAGCAGCCGTGCGTCATGGCGTCACACGCCACGTCACTGGTACAATGACGACGGTAAACAAGGTGAGGATTTCTGACATGTCATGAACAGATAAAAAAACAAACAAAAAAACAAATAAAAAACATTTTTGTATTTAAATTGACCGGTTTACTTAAAAGAATAAAGCTTTTTTTGTGAGCCTTTTGTCTTGAGTCGCACCCCCTACTGGCTGTTGGCGGTACTGACCCATATTGTTTTTGGCCAAACACCATTAAAATCTTCTTGAAGTTATCTCCTCATTTTTTCGAATAAAAGATCACTTCGCATCAATAGCTTTGCTTCTTTAAAACATTTCATTGCACTGATTGTGCATAACATAATGACCATTGACCATTGTTAACTATTAAGACAATGTGATGACCAGATGACTGGGTCAGGGCATCTTCAGAACTTTAGCATTTGTAGGGTGTTCCTGGTCTTTTCTGGGCAGCATCTATTGGTGCAAGAAAGCCAACAGTGCCACATTGACTTTTAAAATACAAACAATGCAGCAGTTTAAGGAATCACATCACTTTTTATTGGAATGAAGACATTTATAACACGCTACTTTTATTTTGCATGTTTATCATGGCATTGTGAAGCTTCTGAGACCCAGTTCAAGTGAAGACTGAGCAATTTTAACGCAGATCAGCTACAAACTGGTTGTAAACCAACGGTCGTCTCTTGTGAACGAGACGGCCGTCAGTGTTGGTGAAGAAAAGATCAGAACCCAAACAGAGTTGATTCTCCAGCCTTTATTGTCTTTCCCATCCTAGCTGCTTAGCTGCAGCTGAGAAATGTAACTGAAGTCTACAGCTACTGGAATTTTGGTTGCTTGGAAATTATTTCAGATTTTGAGGATTTTTCTGTTGCTCTGAAATTAAGCAAGAGCAATAGCCAGATTTGTGTTGCTAAAATTGCTATGGCAACCAATCTTATAATTGGATAATTGTTTAAAATATACGCTAAAACAAATGAATGGCTTGGGTTTTATGCCTTTCCAATCTGCCAAAGACATTTTGTTTATAAACAAAACAGGAGGCAGCAGATTTTACACCAAATTATTCTTGTGTGCGCTGTTTTGTCTATGATGTGTTGGAATAATAATTGGAATGCGGAAATTCTTACCTCTTTTTTCTACAATTTTGCTTCTAGAAACGTTGACTCTTGACACTGATAAGAGAGGATTTAAGAATAACAAAACCTGTAGGTCTTTAAAAGTCTGTTGGGGATAAAAGTCGGAGGATATATGGCCTTTTTAATTAATGCTACAGAATTACAACATGGGGGTTTTATTAAAACGGCCCCTTAATGTAGATTAACTCCATCAGCCTCTTCAAGCACACATGAAAGAGGAAAAGTACAACTACAGAGAATATTCATTGTCTTTATAATCTTCACCACCTACCGCTACTTTTACAGCAACACATTTAAGCAGATATTAACATGTACAGAGTTGCAGAAAAGAACTGCAGTGAAGACCATCAAAAGACCTGCAGTAGGTACAAAGTTAGACCATAACAAAGTCAGCAGTGGTTATATAATGTACTTGTAGCTTATGTGTCCTAAACAGTGGAAGATTTTGTAGGTTTCAGCCTCAGAATACTAATTGGCAGCTAATTGTGATGCAAGTTGCTGCTTTACACAACATCAGGACAGTAAAACGCAAATACTTTGTTACATTTTGGCTTTTTGTTGACATGGTAATAGCGTTTTGGAAAGACAAAAATGCATAGGTTAGACGATGGAAACATTTTAGAAACAACGCTAATCATGTCTGCATAAACACAAATCATTACTTCAGTCACATTATTTCGCACTTTCGCTTCGAATTTTACCCACACGCAACACAAAGAATGAAGGAGTGTGTATTTCACTGTTTCATTAGCATTAGCATTCTGGTCATGACCACTTCAAGGCTCGGGAGAGTCATCCAGTGAATCCTTTGCTAGCTGTAGTATTAATATGCTGACATTGATGGAAATGTTTTTAGTCTGTGGAAGGTGTAAGACTGTTGAATATGAGCCCAAACAGGCAATTCATTATTGTTGCTTTAAGCCATAAGTCTATCTATGGTAATGCTTAGTCTTGGGATTGTGTAGTAAGTGAGTCATTAGCCTAAATGTGCTAGCTACTAGCATTGCTATGCTAGCCGAAAGCCTATTTATGGCATCCTAGGGAAGGTATCATCCAATGAGTCATTAACCGAAATATGCTAGCTCAGAGGTCTCCAACTCTAGTCCTTTGGGAGATTTTGGATGAATTCCTGGTGCAACACAAGGAATTCAAATAATTGAATTATCTCTTCAACATGCCATCAAGTTTGTAAATGGCCTGGTGGTTAGCCTTTCATTTCATCCAGGTGTGTTTGAGCAGGCTTGCATCTGAAATCTGCAGGGTAGTTGGAGAAACCTGAAGTAGCAAACTTCAGCTTCTGCATTGGTGCACTGCAGAGTGAGATGGAGAACAGGCACAAGGGAAAGAGCTCAGCAGAGTATACGCACAATGGTTATTTGATATACAAACATAGCTTAATTTGTGTTACTTGAGTTTCTAGAGCACAGTATTTCAAGAGGGGGTAGTCACTTGACTTCAGAGGCTGGTGACTAAAAAAGACAAATTAAATGTCTGATATTGTCCAACTTAAGAGGTTTCAGTCACAACTTTGTACCTTATCCTGTGCCAAAATCCAAAGCACCACTGATAACATATTCTGCACTCACTTAATAGCAAACAGTACCTGAATATCAGCAAAATCAAACATCCCAATGCATTAACAGATGCATGTGGCTGCGTTGTTCATCAATTCACAGTTTGCATTGTTACACGTTTTTGCGTCACAAAATCACAGATGGCATTGGACTGAAAAATCCTTCCTTTTGAATTACATCATAGCATTATTCAGTACCAACAATGTCTACATCCGTGTGTACACAGTGAATATATGAGCATGCTGTCAGCGGTTAACACTCACCAGAGGGTTTCTGTATTCCTGATGTTTTATGTACAACACTAATTCAGTAGCAGGATTGTAGAATGCGACAGGAAACGATGCTACTGTTGCAGTAGTATCGTTTGTGGTGGGAAACTACTTTGAATTAAAATGGTCATCATCGAAGTCCAATCTAAGCAGAAATAAATAGATGTGCATTGGCTACTCTACATCATACTATTGAAATCAGAATTCAGATTTTGGAGTTTCAGGGTTAATTATTAATCCCAGCAACAATGTGACTTTGAAATGACTGGTAGATACAGCTATTGTGCAATACCAAGACCTAAGATCAATGTATGCCAATACTGTTAAACCAACTCTTTGTATTTATAAGGCGAGCATCTATTCTAAAATATTAGGGCAAAAGGTATTTTTCAAACAGATTTTGTTATACCTCAAAAACAGAAGTTAAATCACATTTGAACCTGTCACAATGCACTATGCCTCCTTTTATAATGTTTATATTGTTTCTAAAAACCATGGCAATGTTAAGTCGACTGCACACAAGGTTGATTCCACAAATTCATAAGACGAGAATAGCATTGTAATATCCACCTGTGTACAGCTTGCATACAAATAGAAGTAGTGATACATTTATTTGAAGAAATGTCTCATCACAAATGATTTCTTTAAGTCTAATGGTCTTGAAGCATCTTTGTTGTCAAGTGGTAAAGCAAGGATCAAAAGCTTTGATTTATAGTGAGTAAAAAGGACTTTACAAGTCATTGTGTTTGTTTGTGTATGTGATGGGAATCTGTAGTCATCTCCAGTCCACCACTATTTGAACCTTCTCAGCCAAAAGTCCAACTGAGCAGTTTCTTGAAAATGTTGCATAATGTTGTTCAATTCGATTGTTTCCAAGAGACAGTTTGTGACTTATGTGCTTGGATACAGTTCATTGTCTTTTATGCTTTGACTACATTTCTACCAGGCAATGATTAATCTACAAATAGAAAAAAGTATAAAAAGATGCGATATCCTGGATAGATGTTCTCTGAAGGGCATCACGAATAGTTTTTGGTGGTCAAATCGGGCCACTCTGTCTCCATGCATACATCCAACTCTTTAGCAACGACAAATGGAAGATCTGATCAGTTGTTCAGAGGGAAAACTTTGAAGGGAATGAATGTGATAGGAGAAAGGGGCAATATTCGAGGTATAGGACTAGCACACTTGTGTCCATATAGGATGCTGAGCTTAAGTCTGCAGTCATTCATGCTGATTGGTATCCACCAAATACCCTACAGCTCAATTTTTTCCCCAGCCTTTTCAGTCATTGTCGCTGTCTGGCTTTGTGGGTCTTCCAGGCAGCAAGCCATGGGGCTGGGGATGTAATTAAATGGAGTGACTCTGGCAGCCTTGCTCCGGGGTCCCTGGCGGAAAGTGACAATTCCACCAACATGGCTGTCTGATGTTCCAGTAGTGCTGAGGCTCTTCAATGAGCCATCTGAATCTGCATCCTGGTGGTTACTCCCAGAGGCAGCAGTAAATTTTCTAAGGAGAGCCAGTCTGGCCTCTTCCTCAGAGATCAGTGGAGCTGTTTCAGCTGTTGGAGAAGTACTTGAATTAGTCTTGTCCTTGGATAAATCTTCTGTCTGGACTGTTGCGTCCGTTGTCTTGCGAGATGCAAGTACAACTGTTGGCAGTTTTCCTGGTAGACCGAGTAGTTTTGGTTTTTCCCCATCAGGAGAAGGCACCAGTGGTAACGCATTGGCAGGCAGCGTGCTTTTCAATATCTGAGGTACATCTTCATCCCTGATTCTCCTCCAAGTAACTCCAGTATTGCGCCGTGATGTAGATCTCTGTCCTTTCTTCTTTGTGTCATCCTCGCTTTTTGCCCTTCCGCTTGAATCAGAGGACGATGAACGTAGCGAAGAACGGCTGGTAACACGACTCAGTATATTTATGCTTGGTGATGAAGCATGGCGCTTAAAGGTATCTTGCTCTTGTTGATGCCTGGCCCCAGAGATTCTGCTAGTAGCATT